AAATCCATCCTGCCGAACGTGAACCGTAATTTAGCGAGTGATATTGATTACGTTGAAAACTTATATCTATTTCATTTTGTTAAGAGGAATTTATATCAAAGTTCTTTTTCTTCACCGGTTGAAGAAAAAATAATTCAAGGAGGATGTAAAGTATTGGATGTTGCGTAAGTAAAAAGGTTCGAATTAACAAATTTGAAAGCCCGACACACGAATATATTTTTGATATAAATAAAATTTACATTTTAAGATGCGGGTCTGGAACATGGTTATTGGATTTATCAACTAAATATGAGAATTCCGATTTTTTTTGGACTTGATTTTCAGGCAATCTATCCGCAAGAGGTAAAGATTGTCGATAAAAAAAAAACAATTTACATAAAATATAAAATACTCGTTCTAAAAATAAATTTTTTAATAGATAAAACCTCCGAATTTAAATTTTATCGAAGGATGGATTACCATTCCCTGATAACATATTTGATTTTGTACATCAAGATAACATGATTAGTATCTTACAAAGAACTCAATGGGAATTCGTTTTATCTGAGCTCATTAGGTAAGTTTATATTGTAGTACATGTATGTATTTTGCTTTAATTTTATCATTGTAACTTTTACTTTTATAGAGTAACTAAACCAGGTGGATATATTGAAATATCTGAAACGATTCCAACGTTTAATGGCTTTGGACCAATCATGCAAAAATTTTTTAACATTTGTAAGTGTCGGTTTTTGTGCCTTTCAGGTTCATTCCGAAAAACGTTTACGTGTATTAAAATATCAAAATTATATAAATATAGTATATTCTTCCCTCTTAAAACAAGATGTGGACGTAAAAGTAGTATATGATCTTGAATCAATGCTTGAATCACAACCAAACATAACAAAAGTTCATCGAGATGAAAGAGAGATTATTATGGGACCTAATAGTGGAAAAATTGGAATAGCTTGTCAAGAGATATTTGAATCGTTTTGTAATACAAAGATGACGATTGAAATTTTAAGTTCCGAAACAGGAATCTCGAAAGAAGAATATAAAAGGATGATGGGAGATATCACAAATGAATTAAAAGAAACCAGACCCGAATTTATAAATTTTAGATTATGGGCTCAAAAAATGTAAACATATAAAATTTTATTTAATGTACTTATTTAACCATATTGCTTATCATCTGTTTACTTTTTTTTTTCAAAAAAATAAAATTAATCATGTGAAAATGCTTTTGAAAAATTTTGTTTATTCTCCCCCAAGCAATAAAAGATTCGTTATTTAAAAATAGAACGCCGATTTTTAATTTAATCATGATTATAGAAAGCCTCTTTTTTTTTTTTAGTAGAAAATATTTTAATTTTACGATTATATTGCAATTCTAGATCTATTTAACAATGAATTTACATGATTAACTAAGTCTACAGTATATAAACAAAAAATCAAGCAAATTGGGTAAAAAAATGATTACACGAATTATTTGTATTCAGTAACAAATTAAAAAACGTGTAAATAACATCCGATATTTGTAAGTGGAACATAGTTATTATATTGAGAATTTTCAACAAAAATAAATTATGGATTAATATACAAAAGGTTTGGTTTGTGATGTTACATTCTTTAGATTGTTTTTGTTTAGATAAATTTGATTTAGAAAACATAGCCTGATGAAATTGCAGCAACTATGCCTAATAATCCATAACTTTTTTGGCTAGTAAAATTAATCAATATTGTCGAACATAAAAAGTAATTTACAATGATCTACATAATTAAACTAACGATTTGGTCATTTTACCTCATATTATCTAAGATTAGAAATTCTGCGAAAATGGTCAAAATAAATTCCTTTTTGATAAAGACAGTTAGTTACAAATCGATTACATAACGTAACATACATTAAATATAATGTTAGGTTTACTAATTAATAATTCTTACTTAATATCGCTCTAAAATTGTTGCAACCAATAACTTAAAATTATAAACAGTTACACATCACATATATGGAAAAAAAAAAACTACCGAACCTCAGTTTCTTATAAAAGAATTCCGGTTTAAATCCATAAACACGTTTCCTTTCTCTTCTAAATTTTTTTTTTTATTTTTTTTTGAAGAAAAAGAATGTTATGATTCCATTTGTCCATAATTAAATTGGTATCTTCAATTATGGGTATTAATAATTCACGCTTAAAGGGTAGGAAATTCAAGATACCAAGTATACCAGAGAATGTGCAGACAAAATCCATCGATGAGAAACTGCCGGACGTGAACCGTTATTTAGCGAGCGATATTGATTACGTTGAAAATGTACATGCATTTCATTTTGTTAAGAGACATTTATTTCAAAGTAATTTTTCTTCGCCAATTGAAGAAAAAATAATTCAAGGAGGATGTAAAGTATTGGATGTTGCGTAAGTGAAGGGATAGAATTAACAAATTTTAGAAACCATCACATAATAAAATTTTTGATCTAAATAATATCACAATTTAAGATGCGGTTCTGGAACTTGGTTATTAGATTTATCATCTAATTATGAGGATTCTCACTTTTTTGGACTTGATTTTCAGGCAATCTATCCGCAAGAGGTAAAAAATATTTATCGATAAAATCCATTCTATAAATATAGATAGGTAAGGGAATTAACATTTAAAAAAATAAATTTAAATAGATAAAACCACCAAATTTAAATTTTATCGAAGCAGATATATTGGATGGATTACCATTCCCCGATAATGAATTTGATTTTGTGCATCAAGATACAATGACTAGAATTTTACAAAAAAATCAATGGGAATTCATTTTATCTGAGCTCATTAGGTAAGTTTATATTGTAGTACATGTATGTATTTTGCTTTAATTTTTTTATCATTGTAACTTTTACTTTTATAGGGTAACTAAACCAGGTGGATATATTGAAATATCTGAACCAATTCAAACGTTTAATGGCTATGGACCAATCATGCAGAAATTGTTTAACAGTTGTAAGTGTCGTTTTTTGCGATAAACTTTCCACTTGCTTATTATTTATGTGTACTAAAATATCAATATAAAATTATATATATTTAAATATAGTATTTTCGTACCTATTAAAACAAAATGTGGACGTAAATGTAATATATGATCTTGAATCAATGCTTGAATCACAACCAAACATAACAAAAGTTCATCGAGATGAAAGAAAGTATATTATAGGACCCAATGGTGGTAAAATTGGGATAGCTTGCCAAGAGGCATTGGTAACGTTTGGTAGTACAGAGATGACGATTGAAATTTTAAGTTCCGAAATAGGAGTCTCTAAAGAAGAATATAAAAGGATGATAGGAAATGGACTTACAGATGAGTTAAAAAAAACCAGACCTGAGCTTATTAATTTTCGATTATGGGCTCAAAAAACGTAAAATTATTTTTATTCGCTCCTTAATAAAATATTTTGTAACGTACTGCACTTCTTATTGGTAGCGGTCGGGTTAAAGGCCTTTGACCCGACCGACCGGTTGACCGATCGATTTTTAGACCGGTTAATAGTAATATATTGAACAGTACAGTTTTTGACTTATTAGAAAGCTTTTATTTGACCATTATTATAGTTTTAATTCTTGTTTTTACAATGTTAGCATAGCACTTTTAAAACTTTTTTATATAAAATAAATTTTTTGTTTTGATAGTCATCAAGTATATAAGTGGCGCAGCATTATCGCGGACTTTATTTAAATGACGCGTTAAAATAAATTTATTTAAATCACGTGAAATATATCGGTCAAATTAAAATTCAACACGATCAATTTTTCATCACGCTTTTTTATTTCTTCATACCCTTTTTTCAAACGTTACCTTCTCTTTTCGTAATAAACTCTACCTCTCTTTTCTCAAACTGTTTCAAAAGCTTTTTATAAACACATTGTGCTACTCTTTTTAATGGAAATTAATAACGCCTTTTAACCGAACTTAAATGAATTTGTTGAAATTTTCTACGAGTATGATAGTGAAAGATGACCATACAGATGAAGAAAGCCAAGGAAAATGCTTAGAATAATACAGGAATGGATATGCATCTGTCTTTGGCTTATTAATCGTGGCATTGTATGTAAACATTTTTTTTCGAGTTATGTCTTATTCAAAAAATACCCGATATTACATTCATCCCACAACGCTGGTACAATGATAAGAAATCTCAACAAGAATATAATTTTATGCCTGCATATACAATGGGAAGAACAGTTTCAAATTCAACAATCAACATTTCAATATCTTAGAAAAATTCGAAAAATTGCCTTATGTTTTGCGATTGCAAAATCCGAAGCAAAAATTTGGATTTGGTATGTTATGTCAAAAAAGCACTTAATTATACAATTCGGGCAGATAAAGTAAATGAATTCATCGATCAAATGCAACATTTTGTTGAAACAACAAAAGAACTTTCTACTCAAACAAGAAAATATTGATCATATGATTGTTACATGTACAACATAAAGGGCAAAAACCTATCAGGAGGGGGACACTGTCAAAAGTGTAAACAACCTGATCATTATGCTCAACGTTCTCCAAATGTTTGATAGTATTTTATTGTGATTTTTTTTATTGCACTTTGCGATTTATGAAATAAAATGTATTCATGTATTAATGAAATTAATCAATCAATCAAAATTCAATTTTTTATTTTATTTATATAATATGGGTGAAATCACCTGGGTGATTTCACCCGGGGGGACAAGTTTTTTTTAATTACTAATTAAATCATGTTCTCAAAATCAGTCGGTCAACCGGTCGGTCAGAGGCCTTTTGACCGACCGATATCGATCACGGTCATGACCGTGACGATTAGAAATCCCTACTTTTACAATTCATTTACTATATTAGGTATATCAACTGACTTTTATTAAAAATAAAAAGTGTACAAAACTTCTTTTGAAAAACGTTTTTAGGTTTACTTTATACAATAAATTCTCTTTATATGCAAAATTTATCATAAAAACGCTGATTTTTAATTTTTGTATAACAAATAGAAGACATGCCAGCCCACCTCTTTGTAACTACAGCATAAGTTACAACATTTCTGCATACGAATATGAATTTAAGATGGCAACCAAGAATTCTAGATGACAAATTAAATTTCAAATGATTAACTTTTAATGAATTTAAAGATATGCATGATTAAGTAATCGTAAAAAATAAAATAAATAAGTAAAAAATAAAAAAAAATTTGTATATATTAAAATAATTTATTTTTTTCTTTTAAAAATCAAAATTTTTTTAAAATATATAGCAATACTACTTATTTAATTAGTCTTTTTGATATTAACATTTTCATAGAAAACTTTATGTGATGGGTAATAACAATTCGAATGAGAATAAACCAGAAATCGTGCAAAAAAAATTCGAAGAAGAGGAACATTATTTGGCAAGCGACGTTGACTTTGTTGGTAAAAATTATTCATATCATTTTATAAAAAGTCATTTATTTCAAAGTAATTTTTCCGCACCGATCGAGGACAGACTAATTCAAGGAGGATGTAAAGTACTTGATGTTGCGTAAGTGAAGGGATCAAATTAACAATTTTGGAAAAAATCATCTCATGATTAATATTTTTGATACAAATAAATTTCCATTTTAAGATGTGGTTCTGGAACATGGTTATTAGATTTATCAACTAATTATGAGAATTCTCACTTTTCGGGACTTGATTTTCAAGCGATATATCCACAAGAGGTAAAAAGATTGTCGATAAACAACAATTATATAAATATATAAAAATACTAAGAAGTAACATTCTAAGATAAATTTTTTAATAGATAAAACCTCCGAATTTAGATTTTATCAAAGCAGATATATTGGATGGATTACCATTCCCTGATAATGAATTTGACTTTGTACATCAAGATACATTGACATATGATTTACAAAGAAATCAATGGGATTTTGTTTTGTCTGAGCTTATTAGGTCTTATAATATTTAATCTTATTTTAATTATTTTGTTTGAGATTTTTTGCAGCTAAACGAAATTATTATTATTTTATAGAGTAACCAAACCAGGTGGTTTCATTGAAATTACCGAATTTTATTTTTCGTATAGCGATTTAGGTCCAATTCTTTACAAATTACTTAATGGATGTAAGTTTATTTATCTTATTCAACTACGTAAAATAAACCTTTTCGGTTCATAGTAAAGCTAATTTTTACATTTTTTTATGAAACAAATGAATAATAGTGCGCATGCATCTCAAAAAACAAATGGTGGATACGGATGTGATGTATGATCTTGAGCCAATGCTTAAATCACAACCACACATAACGCAAGTTCATCGAGATGAAAGAGAGATTATTATGGGTCCTCATGGCGGTAAACTAGGTTTGGCTTTTCAAGAAGTATATGAAATATTTTCTAGCACAGAAAAGACAATTGAAATTATAAGTTCTGAAATGGAAGTTTCTAAAGAAGAATATAAACAAATGATAGGAAAAAAACTTACAAAAGAAATTAGTGAAATTGGGCCAAAGTTTTATATTTTTAGACTATGGACTCAAAAAGTAATTAATTGATTACGCCCCAACTGCATGCATTAAAAATTCATTTCCATTTTTATATCATGATTTCTTTGTGATTCATAAATTTATGACTTGACGTGTTTTAAATCTAGGAAAAATGAGATTAATAACAAGAATCATAACCGAGATGATTTGTAAAATTAGATGTTGATAAAATGATTTAATTTGTTAAGATATTTTGTATTACCGAAATTTAGTTCCTTCGGTCATTGAACAGAATTCCGTTACACTACAATCGAATATAGGATTTTATATAATATTGAGTTGTTCTTTCTTCAAAAACAAAAAAAAAATAATGTTCATATTCTCATAAATGGTAATTGGATATGTTTTATTGCTATGTACTAGAAATTATAATAATATTACTAATTTTCTGTGGCACTTTTTTTTACAATAAACATGCTGAATACAAATGGCATTATCTTGTGATTAAGAAGGCGCAGTGTCATATTAATTATTTATTAGGCTCATCATAGCTAAGTCTATTCAATTGTTGTAAGTGATAAATATTTACTTTTAATCAATGTCGATCCTTTTCTTTCTGATCGTTTTTTTATTAAATTTTTTTAAAAAAAAATCAAAAATCAATCCAATTATATTAAAACTTTGATAAATAATTATTTACCATTTTGTATGGCTACCATTAGCTCTAATTACATCATTTATACAAGTTGGCATAGTATCAACCAACTATTTGCATAAATCAGATCCCAATTTAACCCAAATTTTTTGAATTGCATCCTATAACTAATCCTGTGTTTAACAGGTTTTCCAAGCTACCTCAGATAACAATCCATTTTATTTCAAAGGTGTTCTATGAGATTTAAGTCAGAGAATTGTACTGGCCAATCAAGAATTTTAACCCCATTATCTTCAAACCATTGCTTTATAAGATATGCAATGTGTTTAGGATCATTATCTGTTGAAAAATAATATTATGCAATAGTTCCTAATAGATTTTCCTTTAAAATTTGATAATATAAATCACCATTTATATGTCTCAGTTAAACTAATCTAATAATAGAAATATATTAGTACAGTATAAAATTTTAAATTGATTGAGGAGAATGCTTAATAATAATTTAATTTGAAGCATTCAAAAATTGTTGAGGTTATAAAATTTTCTAAAATTAAGAAATACCATTAGAAAATTGATAAACAAATTTGTTTTTCCTTTTGAATAAAGAATGAATAGGGCTAAAAAACAGTTACATTCTTTCTTTGAAAGTAAAATAAATTGTATTCTATATTCAAAAGGAGGTAAAGACTATGTTGATAATATAGGAAACTTGCTTATCTAAAGGGATTTGAATTTCATAAAGTTGACAAAATGTCAAATATTTTGTTTTATCTGTTCTTTAACATATTTAGTAGATTTTTTACTATTTATTTAGATGTTAAAAAACCTAATTAAGACTATTTTAAGTAAAATATTAATATTAGTAAAACTAAATTTAAGGTTAATTGATAGATCTATAAACTTTTTTGTAATAAGTAATTTTAACTTATTTTTATTTAAGGCTGATCTAGTAAAGCTGTAAAATTATTTAACTATAGCTAGTATGCATTCAAGATCTCATTTAAAATTAATCTAGTTAGTATTATTCATGTAAGTGAGCGAAAAAACTTCTGCAGTTATAGTGTTTAATATCATTAAAGTAAGATTAATAACCTAAGAATGTTTAATTATGTAATTCAGTTTAAGGTCAGCCATCTCATATAGAAGTGAGTCTAGATATATATATCAGAAAAGTAGTGATATTACTTTACTTTAATTAATATAAAGTATTATTACTAAGTTGATTAAGTATATATGTAAAACTATATATATGTGAAATTTTTAATTATCGCATTATAATAATTATAATGTTATAATAATCTGTTATATTATAAGAAGTAATAATAGTATTTCTTCTTGATATAAACAAATTAATAAGTATATTAATAGAAATTTAAGGTAACTTAATATATTCTAGAGCATGCTTTAAATAATGTAAATTGATTCTATTATATGTTTTAGAAAAATTTTGAAGTAAAATTCAAATTTCTTTATTATTTTCTTTTATGTTTTCTAAGAGTATGTTTAATATTTTTATTGGTGATTCAGTTAAACTACTAAATAGTCTTGTAAAATTATTCCTTTTAAGAATATTATATTTATTAATAAGTTTTGATAGTCAATTATTAATGATTTTGACTAGATCTTTTCTAGCTATTTCTAATAAAGTTATGGATTTAGTTTTAGTAATATTATAATTCCACTTCATTGATTTAGAAATTAGGTAAATATAAGTTACTTTCTATTATTTAGGTATATCATCAAGTTAGAAATATATACAAATTAGTTAGCATAGGATATAACATATTTTAAAGTTAATATATGTTAATATTTTATCGATAATACCTAAAGGACCAGTAGCTTTATTATTAAAAAGTTATTTAATAGTAACCAATTATTCATTATATAGGAAGTTGTAATAAGTTTTTATATCATTAGTTGTTTATATAATTTTTTAGTCAATATTATACTTTTCATTTTCAAGATATACATTTTGTAATAGTAGAAGATAAAGCAAATTTTTCATTTTCATTAAAATTTTCTACGAGAAGTTAATTTAAAACTATAGTTCTTTTACTTTTATCTAAAATAAAATCAATTATTTTTGACGTATTTAAAAATAAATCATCATATTTTTTATCAATTAGAAGCTGAATAGCTTTCTTTTTTAATTTTCTAATTTCTATTTAAATCAAAGTGAGGAAAGACTAGTGAATCTCTTTAATTTATACTTTAACTAGTAAATATTATTATAGTTAAATAGAAGGAAAAAGGTAACTAGTAAAAGTTTTGATTTTTTAACAATTTTAGTAATGCAACAATCATATTATTCTACATATCCAATTTTGATTATAGATCTTGTTCAATTAATTTATTTTTAAAAAGTAAGAGAACTGAAAAAATTATTTTTATAATATAATATAAGTCAGAATATTCATAAGATTGTTTTATTTTCTACATTAATATAATCTATACTTGAAATTTTTCTTTTCTATTAACTGCTAGGATAACAGTTTTGATATTAATTTATAATTTATTCATATTAGCTCTATTAGGTGAAAAATTTTTAAATCTTTTAAAGTTGTAAGGATTATAATGAAATTGATATAATTGGCAAAATTTTTCCATTTATCAGCATTTATAACCTTTTGATTAGAAACTTGTCTTAATTTTGAAGTAATCTAGATCCTATATAAGACTAATCTTTCAAATTAGTAAAGAAAGTAAAGATGATTTTATAATACAATATATATATATCAGTAGAATCTATATATAAATAAAAAAAAGTTTAAGATTAAGTTAGATAAAGCTAAAATTTTATCAATATATGAACTCAAATTATGACTAGTAAAAGTGGGTTAAGATATACTATGACAAATATTATAAAGATCAAGAAAGTTAAGAATAAACAATTTTTTATAAAAATCAAATTTTTAGTATAATGTTAAATTATTATTAATCAGAAATTAATATTCATTAAGATAATTTTAAAATTTATTTGAAATTCTCTTTAATATATTTCATAATATTTTTGTACAACTAAAATTAATTTTGCAATATAAAGTTTTAATTCAGATATTACTTTTTACATATCTAAAAGCATGTTCAAGATCTTATCTAATTTATTATTAATTTCATTATTTTTATAAAAGTTGTAGATAGAATTATCAACTAAAGAGTTTTTATTTTAACAATCACACTTATTTTAGTTATTATATCTGTTAATTAATATTTAAGATTCTGTAAGTTTAAACTGATTATATAAATATTGTATTGTAAGCAATTAATGTTAAGAAGATTTGGATTTGTTAATATCATTTTCATGAAAAACAAATTTAATTTAAAGGTAATATAGTTTAGAAAATCACATTTATGATAATATTTTAATTTAATAGAATACCAGTGTAATTTATATTCACTAAAAGAGTAAGCATTTTTGATAGTATCATTGAGAATAATTTTATTTATAAAGTAAAGAGTAGTAAAGGGTCTAGACTTATAATTATTTGATTTAAAAATATAATAATTTTTTTATAATAAAAATGATATCTTACAAATTATATGCAGATGTATTATATAGAAAATTCATAAGCTTCATTTTAAAATTATTACAGAGTTTAATTTGTTCTAGAATAAAAAATGCTAAGTAAACTCAAATGTAATTATTAAAGAAGTAACATGACATAAGCGTATAAAATAAATTAATATTTTGTGATAACTTATAAGTAATGTAAACATATTGTTAAAGAGCTTATATTTATAATCTATCATTAGCTATTTTTTTTATTTTTGAAAAAAATATTGAAGAGTGTATTTTTTTAATATTGAAATAGATATCAGTAATATGTAGAGTATATTGCAGAAACTGCATATTCTCTTTATAGATTATGTATTCAGTCAGTTAGTCAATTTTCAAATCAGAAAATTTTATAATTAATATTGATTTCATAGATTCTTAATTATCAAAATAGATAATCACCAATCTGATCAGGTTGATGTGACAAGTATTTATTTTTTTGAATGCATCTTATTATGCAAGGTATTATTGATCATCTTAATAATATTATTAATAAAGATTTTGGTTAATTTTGAATGTCTGTAATATAAGCAAAGAATATTAGGTAAGTAATTACAATAAAATCATGATTATCTATTTTATGTTGTTTTTCTTATTAATAGGAATATATTCATTTTTATCTAAGATATTAAGAGGTAAAGTGATTTCATAACTTTCAAAGATAATACCTTTAATAATAAAAGTTTCTTCAATAATATCTTTGTCAGAAATAGAAGAAGAATCTAATTATTTTTTTAATCCAAAAGCTATAGAGAAAAACTAATTATTATACAGATCAAAACAGTTATTATTAATATTTTTCTTAGCAGTTTATTTATTTTTTTTTAAACTATTTTGTAAATAAATATTTATTAAAAC